AATTTGGAAAGCAGAGACACACACCTACAGAGATCTTTCGTCCACTGTTTCACTACCCAATTGCACGAGACAGCCAGGCTGGGCTAGGCTGAATCCAGGAGCTGGGAACTCAATCAAGGTCCCTCATGTGGGTGACAGGGATCCAAAGACTTGAGCTATCATCGGCTGTCTCCCAAGTTGAATATTATCAGGAAGCTGAATAGGAAGCAGAGGAGGAGGGACTTAAACCAGACACTTCATTATGGGATATGGGCCTCCCACTTGGCAAACTAATAGCTGAGCCAAGCAACTGCCACTCTCCTTATTTACCAAAAACTTCTCTGTATTCCAGGATATCTTCTCCATCTTTATCTTTCTTGCTGTTCCTTCTTACTTGGATGTTTTCTCCTCATCTCCCTGACATCTGCATAAATGTGGATTTACCCTTGTTTTAAAATTTGTTTATTATGTATTTGAAAAGCAGACACATCACACATGGGGCGGGGAGAGAGAGAGACATGGGTGACAGGAACCCAACTCCTTGAGCCATCATCACTGTCTCCCAGGGTTTGTATTCACAGGAGGATGGAATTGGAAGCCAGAACCAGGTATCAAACCCAGACACTCTGATGTGGGACATGGATGTCTTACCCAGCAATTTAATCACTAAGGAAAATGCTCACCCCCAGATTTATGAAACTAAGTCCCTATGCAGATGCCAGATACCGTGAGGTTCCATGCTAAATTAACTCAGAGAATTGAGGTCGTCATACATCTGGTCCTATGAGGACCTAAATCACCAGCACTACCAGGCTCTAATCTCTGGACCCATGAGATCATTTGTTTCACTAGCAGATAACATCTAGATATCTGGTCTTGTCTTGAAGGATTTCTTTTCCAGGAACCTCAGGCTCTGAGCAAAATGTAACTTCCACATATCCCCCAGACTTACTGGAGCCCACTTTACCATCATCAAAATTCCCTGAAAGGAGGGCTATGAGCAACACTGCAGAGCAACTAGGAACTTGCTTGTGAATTGAACATGCAACTCTCAGCCCCAACTTCAATCTGTAAGAATCTTAACTTCTAACCCTTCAAGAACCCAGGAGTTAAGTAACAGCTGCCTGGTTCCTTGCTCTGCAGTTTGCAATAAACTCCTTTCTTCTGCCACCTGATGTCAGTGATTGGTTTGCTGCATTTTGGGCAAGCAGATCCAATTTTGGGCATTCTATAGCAAATCCTCCAACCAGTTTTGGGTCTATTTTATATCATGTATTCTCTGTTTTCTATTTATATTCATACAAATGCTGACTTCAACTACTCTCTTGGTTGTAAATATCCATAGGCTCATGATTTCTAGATTTATAGCTCCACTTTTGTGCCTCTTTTCTAAACTCAAGACTCATATTTTAAAATACCTACTAGATACATTCTGTTTGTTTTATAAACAACCATCTCAAAATTTACTCCTGATAGTTCCATGCCAAGTCTTCTACTCTTGTGCTCTCTCCATATCCATAAATTACAACTCATTCTTTGTAGTAGCTCAGGCCAAAGGCCTTAGTATAATTCTTAATTCATCTCTCATACCATAAGTTGCATCAAAGAACAAATCCTTCAATGTGTATCCAGAATACAACTATTTTTCAGTCTTGGAGGTTTCTGCATCTGGCTATGATGAACTAACTATAGTCAAACAACCCTTCTTCAGAGAACACCTGGAAAAGTTGGATAAGAGACAAATGAAGAAAATCAATTTGAAAGCATCATAGAATTTTCAATCCAGCTAGACCTGGAGTGGCTGAGAGCTCAAAGAGAAAAGAATCTTTAAAAAGGATTATTTATTTATTTTGAATGTCAGAGTTATGCAGAAAGAAGGAAAGATGGGGAGGGGGTGGGTATTCCATCCTCTGGTTCACTCCCTTGATGGTTACAATAGCCAGTGCCTGGCTAGTCTGAAGCCAGGCTCCAGGAACAACTTCTGGGTCTCTCATGTTGGTGGCAGGGGCACAAGGACTTGGGCCATCTTACACTGCTTTTCTCAGGCTATTAGCAGGGAGCTGCATTGGAAATGGAGCAACCTGGACAGGAACTGGTGCAAAGATGGGATGCCAGTGTCACAAGTGTGATTTTACACTCTATATCCTAAGAAGAGAATTTTTAAGCCTGAAATTTGCTTTCATTATTCCTCTTACATGTTGGTTAATAAGCTGTTTCATGCAAGGAGCTCATAGAAAAGTGGTAGCTACAAGACAATTAAGCTGATTAGAGCCTTCTCCAGTCTTATGGGATATATTAGACTTTAGAAATTATGAGGTTTAAAGACCCAAGATCTCAGAGTGACGAGAAACACAGAGGAGTCTGATATTCTGTACTGCAACTTCCCACCAAACTGTTCGTTTATAAATGATCAAGGAGTAAGAGCTGCGATGCTAAGCAGATGTTTCAGCCTCCATTGCACTAGAGAGACGCTATTTAGAGTTTGGAGACATTGTAAATAGACCAAGCTTTCAGTCAAAACCTTTGAAAGTCTATGTCCCAGGAGTAATGGGGAACTCAAATAGATAAGACCTTTCTTTAAAAGACTGAAATCCAGTTTTGATAAATTGTGTATGGATTAGTTAAGATGAGCTACTCCTACTCTTTTTTGCTCAAAGTTAACATAAAGTCTTTTTTGTGTCAAGATTTATTTTATTTATTTGAGAGGAAGAATTACAAACAGAGAGAGGGAGAGACTGAGAGAAAGGTCTTCCATCTGCTGGTTCACTCCCCAAATGGCTGCAATGACCAGAGCTGAGCCAATCCAAAGCCAGGAGTCATGAGTTTCTTCTAGGTCTCCCACATGGGTGTAGGGGCCCAAGGACTTGGGCCATCTTCTACTGTTTTCCAGGCCATTATCATAGAGCTGGATTGCAAGAGGAGCAGCCGGGACATGAACCACCACCCATATGGGATGCTGGCACTGCAGGTGAAGGCTTAGCCTGCTATGCCACAGCATGGGTGTGACATAAAGTCTTTTGAAGAAGATAACACTCTCTGGAACCTCTACATTTTTTATGATATGATATATCATTCAGTAATATGCTATAAATGACAAACCAAGAGATGACAAAGATCAAAACACATTACATAAACAGACCCACAGTTGATCTAGTTGTTGGTGTTATCCAATGCAAAGCTTAAAGTAATTCACTTAGTATACTTAAGAACAAATGAAAAAGTAGAAAATTTCAACAGAAAACATTGATAAATAACAAATAAAATGATATTATAACATTTAAATATGTAACAGAAACTAAGGAGTTAATACTTGAGGTTAAGATCAGATTAGGTAAGGCTGCAGAGTGAGTTAGTAAAATGGAAGAAAATTCATGCTAAAGCAGATAGGAAAAAGCAATGAAAATTCTAAAAAGTACATAAGCAATATGTGAGATAATAAAGGAGTCCGATATGAGTACAGTTTTTAAAAAATATTATTTAAGATATATAAATTTCGTGTTTTTCACATATACAGATTTAGGAACATAATAATACTTTCCAACCTACCTTCCCTCCTGCCCATGCTCCCACCCCTCCTCCTCCCTCCTCTCTTATTCCTTCTCAATTTTTGCAATGATCTACATTGAGTTTACTTTATACCAATAAGATTAACCTTAAACCAAGAAAAGAGTTCAAAAAATGGTAAGAAGAAAAAAAGCATTGTTCCTCAATAGTAGAGACAAAGGCTGTAAACAAGCTTTGAATCTCAAAATGTAAATTTCACTCCTATACATGACATTTTTTTTTTCGAACTATTTGTTGAAATCTTTACTTAGTATAGAGTTTATCTTCTGTGTATAAATTTAATTGAGAATAGATCTTAGTAAAAAATAAGAGTGGCAATAGGAGAGGGAGGAGGAAGAAAGGAGGGAGAATGGGTATGCTGGGAAGAAGCACTATCACTGTGTTCCTAAGGCTGCATTTTATGAAATGCATGAAGTTTATACACCTTAGATAAAAAGTTTCTGGGGAAGAAATTCTGAATGGGTATCCCCTATTCAAAACTAATTTTTATTTGTTACTGACTTTATTCACATGCAGAGGTTTACTGGACAGTTAGTGTTTAAAGTCTCTCTCTCTCTCTCTCTCTCTGCTCCATCTCTCATTATTTGCATTCTAGAAATACTTGATTTTTAAAACAGTGCAAAAACTGAATTTTGGGATTCTTTCTGCTCTTTCATTTATCCTTGCAAACCAGCTAATTCCTTCCTTAGCTTTAGCTTAACAAACACAGTCAATAAAAACCATACAGTATTAAAGCTATGTCTCTTATTTCTGTTCCTAGAGCTCAATTTCAGTAGGCATGTGCTCTGCATTCTATGTGTTCACAGGGAAAAGCTTTACCAAGTGTTTTGCCACTGAACAACAAAATGACCAATTGTATTTCAATTTTTATATTGACCATAGGCAATTACTCAGTCAAGTCAACATTTTACAAATCTTAGTCATTTTGGGACGGGTATTGTAATGCAGTGGCTTAAGCAGCCACCTGCAATCTGGTATAAGAGTACCAATTTGAATCCCAGCTAATTCACTTCCCATCCACCTGGGAAAGCAGCAGATGGCCCAAATACATGGGGCACTGTCACCCACATGGAAAACCCAGATGGAGTTCCTGGCTCCTGGTTTTGACCTGGCACAGCCTTGGCCATTCCTGTCGTATTTGGGGAATGAACCAGTAGTTGGAAAATCTCTCTCTCTTTGTCTCTTGCTTTCTTTCTGTCACTCTGCCTTTAAAAAATAAATAAATATTTAAAAAATAAGAAAAGCACCTCATTTCACCATTTAAGTCTTTATTGGAATAGATTAACTGCTATAGCAAATGATCCAATATCTTATTGGCTAACCCAATGAACAATATTTTTAATTCAAGTACAGTACAAATACTCCCGGTTTTATGGTTCTCTTAACAATTCTATATAACTGTGACTTAGTTACTCAAGTGCTTCTCTCTCATTGATTTTCTATTTTTCTAATTCAAGGTACTCCTGGAATAATTCAGTCAGCAGATAAGAGAGTGTGGAGTGTAACAGAGGGTTTTATGGCCATGCCTAACATGATGTACATAAATTGAGTGCACATTCTTTTTTCCAAAACCCACTCTCAGCCTCAAGCTAACATCAAAGTGTTCCCATATGGCCAGGGAGAGGGGAGAGGATTGTTGAGCATCTAGTCAGCTTTAATGGAAAAATGCAGCTGAAAGCACAGATTATCCTAATGTTGGCAAGTGAAGATCACCCAGTTCTAAAGCATGCAACAGAGACCTGTAGAAAACTCAGCCAGAGTCTTAAAATTTTACTTTGTTCATAAATTAACTAAAATGAATTAAGAATTTACAATTTTCCAGGCATTCTTCCAATTACTTTAGAATTATTAAATCAATGAGCATTAAAAGAATCCTATGAGATGGTTGCTATTATTATATTCATTGTATAGACCAGTAACCAAGGACACAAGATACTTGCTGCGGACTGGCTTTGTGGCTAAGCTGCTGCCTGCAATGCCAGCACCTCATATTGGAGTGACAGCTCAAGTCCCAGCTGCTCTGCTTCCAATCCAGCTTCCTGCGAATGTGCCTGCAAAGGCAGCAGAAGATGGTGCAAGTGCTTGGAACCCTGCCACCCATGGGGGGGACACTGATGCAGCTCTGGGATCCTAGCTTTGGCCGGAATCAGCCCCTGCTCTTGAGTTCATTTGGGGAGTGAGCCTGCAGTTGGAAGATCTCGATCTCGATCTCTCTCTCTCTCTTCTCTCTCTCTGTGTGTGTGTGTATGTGTATGTGTGTCTGTATCTTTCAAGTAAATATATGTCTTTTAAAAGAAATTTGCAGGCAGCCTCATTGCTAGTAAGAAGCAAGCAGAAGCAGAATTTTCTGTTAGGCAGTCCAGTTCATGGACAGGGATCAATCGTTCCATTGCTCAGCCCTGTCTGATCTCTTCTCAGGTGACTAATTCAATATACTGTTGTCTAGCAGTATGTTCTGTCTTCCCTCCCCTGCCCAGAAAGCCACCTGCAGTCTTGTCTGGCCATTTATCCCCAACCCCAACCCTTTGGCTCTTCTCTAAAGGGCTATTATTAAAGTATTCTTGTACAGTCCTTTAAATGCTAGTGGAAATTTTGGGACATTACCATTCAGTTTATACAGTGACAGGGAAGAGGATAAAGGGCAAATACAAAAAACATATTTGAGGGGCAAGCAGTGGTTAAGATGCTGCTTGGAATGCCCACATCCCATATCAAAGTACCTGGGGTCATGTTCCAGTTCTGCTTAAGATTCCAGCTTCCTGCTAATGCAGACTCTGAGAGATACCAGGTAATGGCCCAAGTATTTGACACTGCCACCCACAAGGGTTTGGCATGATCTGACCCAGCTGTTGAGGACATCTGAGGAGTGAACCAGAAGATAGAGGCTGTCTCCCCCTATATCCTATTCCCTCTCTTTGCTCTTCAATTAAACAAAAAATAAAAAAAAATTAAAGAGAAACACATTTAAGAGAGGTAGTAAGAAAAACAAGCCAGTGCATACCTCATATTTTCAGGCTCTAGGGCAAGATTTGCATGCAGAGGCTCCCATCTCACCCACCTAATACTTAAAAGTTATAAATCAAGCTGGTGCAATGTTGAGCATTTCCTACTTTGAAAATATAGTATCTTGGAATGATGGATTGAATATAGAATTATGAGACTTAAGACAGCATGCCAGAATGAGTAGCTTGGGGAGAGTCTAGCCACAGACACCTTTCCTTCCATCTTCTGTGGATCCATCCTCTATCACAAGGGCCTTGGAAGCATACAGCTGAATACCACAGTCTGTACACTTGAGCTCTGTCCATGCCAGCCCAGCCAATAGCCAGGCCTGGATCTCCCATCTGGAGGATGATCCAATAGAAGAGTCCAGCCTAGAAACCACCTTGAGCTGTTTAAAGATGGAATACCAGTACTTGAGCACCCAGAATATACTTCAGATGGAAGTGGAACATAGACTCTGCATGGGCACATCCCCCAGGCCCCCACGGAACCCTCACACTACAGTGAAGATGGTCAAATGAGGCCCAGAGCAGGGCTCTCTGAAGAGCAGTTGTGAAATCTCTGATTTTCCCCTCTGGTGTCAAGAGAGAAACAAATCAAATGTACCCTCCAGCCCTCAGCACAGACTTGGATTACAAATAAAAGGAGTTCTGCAGGTATAAGCAAAATAATAAGGTGACTATTTAGAGCAACACAAAGAATGAAGAATCTCAGAAATGATACATGGGTTGGGGCTGGCGCTGTGGCGCAGCAGGTTAACGCCCTGGCCTGAAGCGCCGGCATCCGATATGGGCGCCGGTTCTAGTTCCGGCTGCTCCTCTTCCAATCCAGCTCTCTGCTACGGCCTGGGATAGCAGTAGAAGATGGCCCAAGTCCTTGGGACCCTGCACCCGCGTGGGAGACCCAGAAGAGGTTCCTGGCTCCTGGCTTCGGATCGGCGCAGCTCCGGCCGTTGCAGCCAATTAGGGAGTGAACCATGGGATGGAAGACCTCTCTCTCTCTCTGCCTCTCCTCTCTCTGTGTAACTCTCCCTTTCAAATAAATAAATAAAATTTTTGAAAAAAAAAGAAATGATACATGGGTGACAAACATAGAATATATGTTTCTCATTTTTAATCTCTTTGAAATATAATTGGCTGTTTACAGAAAATGCTAATATACAAAAAGTTGGAGAGGTTGTATTAATATCAGACAAAATAGATTTCAAAAAAAAAAAAAATACTGTCGAGGGTGGGTGTTGTGGTGCAGTGGATTAAACTGCCACTTAGGATCCATATAAGAGCATCAGTTTGCTTCGTGACTGCTCCCAGCCCAGCTCCCTGCTGATGTGCCTGGGAAGCAGAAGACAATGGCTGAAATATTTCAATCCCTGATACCCTTGTGGGAGAACAAGATGGAGTTCCTGACATCTGGCTTAGGCCTGGCCCAGCCTGGGCTATTGCAGTCATTTGGGGGGGTGAACAAAGGATTGAATGTCTTCCTGTCTCTCCCTCTCCCTGTGTCACTCTGCCTTTCAAATAAATAAATCTGAAAGAAATGAAGAAAGAAAGGGAGAGAGAAAGAAAAAGAGGGGAGGAGATAGGGAGGGAAAAAGAAAATCTAGCATTGTTAATAAAATAGGCAAATAAGAATATAAATAGTCAGACTTGAAGAGAAACATTTCATAATAAAAAAGACACTACTTCATCCAAAGGACATAACAGTACTGAACTCTTATACACTTAATAACAGAACTTCAAACTGCATGAAACAAAATTGGTAGATGAAATGGGGAAACAAACAAATCCACAGTAATACAACTGAAATGGAAAATAAATTCACAATTACAGTAGGAGACTGTGACACTTTATACCAGTAATTGACAGACAAGCAGAAGAAAAATCAGCTAGAACATAAAACCCTTGAATAATCATTTCAACAGACTTGACATAATTGACATTTATGAAACACTTCACATACTAGCAGCAGAAGATGCATTCTTTTCCAGTGAACACGGAACATTTACCAAAATAGATCTAATGCTAAGTCATAAAACAAGTCTCAAACAATTTAAAAGGATTGAAATCACAAAAAGTATGTACTTGACCATAACAAAGGCCCGGGAAGGCAGTGGAGGATGGCCCAGGTGCTTGGGCCCTGCACCTGAGTGGGAGACCAGGAGGAAACACCTGGCTCCTGGCTTCGGATGGGCGCAGCGCGCCGGCCGTAGCAGCCATCTGGGGAGTGAACCAATGGAAGGAAGACCTTTCTCTCTGTCTCTCTCTCTCACTGTCTGACTCTGCCTGTCAAAAAAAAAAAAAAAAAAAAAGGGAGAGGGCAGGCGCCACAGCCGACTCAATAGGCTAATCCTCCACCTAGCGGCGCCGGCACACCGGGTTCTAGTCCCGGTCGGGGCACCGGATTCTGTCCCGGTTGCCCCTCTTCCAGGCCAACTCTCTGCTGTGGCCCGGGAGTGCAGTGGAGGATGGCCCAAGTGCTTGGGCCCTGCACCCCGTGGGAGACCAGGATAAGTACCTGGCTCCTGCCTTCAGATCAGCACAGTGTGCGGGCTGCAGCGCGCCGCCGTGGCGGCCATTGGAGGGTGAACCAACGGCAAAGGGAGACCTTTCTCTCTCTCTCTCTCTCTCTCTCGCTGTCCACTCTGCCTGTAAAAATAAATAAATAAATAAAAATAAATAACAGGGAGGTATCTGGAAAATCCACCCAATACATAGAAATTAAAGACTGCTCCTTTAAAAAGTTCGCAATGGGGGTCCAATGCTGTGGTGCAGTAGGTTAATCCTGCCCCTGCAATGCTAGCATCCAACATAGGCACCGGTTCTAGTCCTGGCTGCTCCTCTTTCAATCCAGCTCTCTGCTATTGCCTGGGAAACCAGTGGAAGATGGCCCAAGTGCTTGAGCCCCTGCATGCATGTGGCAGACCTAGAAGTTCCGGGCTCCTGGCTTTGGATCGGCTCAGCTCTGGCCATTGTGGCCCTTTGGGGAGTGAACCAGCAGACGGAAGACCCCTCTCCTTGTCTCTCCCTTTCTCTGTGTGTAACACTACCTCTCAAATAAATAATAAAGAAAATCTTTTTTTTTAAAAAAAAGTTCTTAATGAAGAAGTGATACAGAATTATAATCAAAGGAAAATGGGAAATTTTAGGTTATAAGATTTTAAAATTATTTATATAATAGAAAAAATTTTGGAAAGTTATAGAAATTAAAGTTATAAATTGTTTTTCCTTGATGTAAAAGGAGAGGTTCTTTATCTCTTTGAGCCTTATCTGTTTATAAAACTAGGAAATATAATCTCAACTGCAAAAAATTTATGAGGATTAAATGAGATAAAATATAGCACATATTCAGTAAATGACCACTCTATTTTTTCCACACTTTTTTTTCTCATTATCACACCACTCCTTTCTCTATAAAGTCTAAACTAACTTTTAAAACGTAAATTTGCTATAGTGTCACCTTTCCAGGTTTTTCTATGAATGCTTCTAATGGGGAAACACAGTCTCTTTCGGTAAATGGTGCTGAGAAAACTGGATATTCACATGCAGAAGAAGGAACTTAGGCTTCCCACCCATATCTCTGCTTACAAAAATCAACGCATAATGGATTAAAACTTAAATACAAGACCAAAGCTTTAAACTATTGTAAGAAAGAAAAGGAGAAATGCTTCATGGCATTGATCTAGGCAAGAATTGTGAGGATAAGATTTCAAAAGCACAGATACCCAAAACAGATAAAAATGGGATTAACCAAACTAAAAATTTTCTGCATAGCAATGGAAACAATCAATAAAGTGAAGAGACAACCTATAGAATGGAAGAATACACTTGTAAACTATGCATATGACAAGGAGTTAAAATCCTGACTCTACAATGAACTCAAACGCAATAGAAAATAAATCCAGTTAAAAAACAATTAAAAGCCGGCACCGTGGCTCACTAGGCTAATCCTCCGCCTTGTGGTGCCGGCACACCAGGTTCTAGTCCTGGTCGGGGCAGCGGATTCTGTCCTGGTTGCCCTTCTTCCAGGCCAGCTCTTTGCTGTGGCCCGGGAGTGCAGTGGAGGATGGCCCAACTGCTAGAGCCCTGCACTACTCCATGGGAGACCAGGATGAGCACCTGGCTCCTGCCTTCGGATCAGCGCGATGCGCCGGCCATAGCGCACTGCCCGCGGCGGCCGGTGGAGGGTGAACCAATGGCAAAAGGAAGACCTTTCTT